ACTCTGAAAGATACACTCATGGACAAAACTTAAGGAAGTTGTACCTTTTAGCATGTATATCTGGATTGAGACAATAACTCTGAAAGATACACTCATGGACAAAACTTAAGGAAGTTGTACCTTTTAGCATGTATATCTGGATTGAGACAATAACTCTGAAAGATACACTCATAGACAAAACTTAAGGAAGTTGTACCTTTTAGCATGTATATCTGGATTGAGACAATAACTCTGAAAGATACACTCATAGACAAAACTTAAGGAAGTTGTACCTTTCAGCATGTATATCTGGATTGAGACAATAACTCTGAAAGATACACTCATGGACAAAACTTAAGGAAGTTGTACCTTTCAGCATGTATATCTGGATTGAGACAATAACTCTGAAAGATATTACAGTGACCTTTATTGAAGACTTCCCACTTCCTTAAGTTTTGTCCATGAGTGTATTTATAAATTCCTTTTGAAGCTCAACTTTGTAAAATAACCTCAGAAACCATGGTACTATGGAGGAGGACTCTACCTAGATGTATCTATAGATATATGTCAAAGGAGAGATTAAATATAAGATAAATAATATAGAAGTGTGATATAAAAATATAGATAAAAATGATAACACCCATACATACATATTCCGTCTAGGAAGTTCCCCCCACTTAGAGAAAGTCCTCCTCCAGACAGTGAAGGGATCTTCACGAACTCCTCTCACATATCTCCAGGATGAAATAGAATTTGAGGATGTGCATGACTTAGCAGAAACAAGGATGTTGGCCAGGACATTGTCATCGCTCGAAGATGCAGTAGCCTGGCAGTACAAGAGACCGCTGGGTGATGGTAGAGGCATCCAGGATGAGGCAAGGCGTGTAGGGTCATCCTCATTGCATCGTCGGAGTTTTGTTCCCAGAAGGTACAGCGTCGGAGCGACGTACAGCCGATGATGATGGAAGCGTCAAGATGCTTATCCTATCTTCGCAGGAAATGGGTGATGGGCAGGACAGTGCATGTGGCGGGCATTGCGGGTGGTTATTGGCGTGGACTCCCTGCGCAGAAGTTTCACAAATGTTGTTTACATGGAAGGACTCGCGTAGGTTTTTTCACCATCAGCCAACAACATATGATGGTCAATGCTGCAGTGTCAGCGAGGGGGTTGGGCGAGTGAGGGGAGGCGTGGGATTTTTGAAGTCCCCAACTCAGGAGTTTTAAACTATATTATAGAGCTAACCTGTACAAAATGGTGTCTTCCATAGATGGTTTACTTATTAAACATATGTAGGTTATATTATATATATATATAACGATATTTGAAAATTATCCCGCATGTATTTCTTTTGAACGAAAAATCAAAATTCATTCCAAGGAGAAATAACGATTATTTCTAACCTTGTGGATGAGGTATGAAAGGATGAATTGTGAAGAGCAATGATAAACGGAAAAATAAAAGTGTCCAGGGATGGGAATCGAACCCACAGTGTTCCGCTTACCGGGCAGATGCCATGTCCACTAGGCTACTCTGGACATAATTTTCCGTTTGTAAATGATACATAAAGTATGTAGGTTATATAAAGAATCTATCATAACTTATCATCATCCACTTATCATGATTGAGTCTCCTATGAGAGATTGTCTCCTTGAGAGACCGAGTTTGCTGTGCTGTGGTCTTTCATTGGAGATTCTACTATATATATGGTACAATGGTTTCAATGAGTATTGGAACTGACCCACCGCGTAGGAGGTATGATGGCAGAAAGAGGCAGCAGTCACCGATGATGGGAAGGTCCAGGAGGTAAGTCCACGTGCGGTAGTCTAACGTCAGGATGCTAACGGCTCCCTCCCAGATCTCCAGTAGCCAGGCGTGGTGGGAGCCTGGACCCGGATGAAGGGGGGATAGAGCTAAGCGCTACTATCTTTTGGCCTGGAGTAGACATTGCGTACAGCACAGCTTTCACGTCCTCGAATCACGTCAATCGCAGGCGCGTGTTGATGAGCCTGAAGTCATCTAGAGAAAGGCCTCGCTAGGATGCTACCTGGCGGTACGCTTATGTCTCTAGATAAACCGTGCGGTGTTGGAAATGGTAGATTCAGTATGCAGGTACTCGTGGATATGTTGTATGATGGAGGAAAGCAACAGGGAGTTGGAGGCTCTGGTCCAACTGCCGACACCTCGCTATGGCCGCCTCCATAGCAGATGTCGAAATTCCCGCTGTCACGGTTCAATCCAGCACCTCCAGGTATTCCGACGATCAGGAGATGCCCAGTAGAGTGTTCATGCGGCCACCCCAGAGGCCTTTGAAATTGTTGAAGTTCCTCCTTATATCCGATACATGTCCTCGAAGATGGAGTTGACTAGGCCTAACTAGTAGGGCGATATAATAGGTTTGGGCGAAGACATTTCCGGGGCCGAAGGCGTGCTCGAGATGCCGCAAGAGGGGACCAGAGTGCGATGTTATAAACTCAAGCCTTGCCTCACACTATTCAGAAAATGAAAGGAACTGGTGTAGAAGTCTCTAGCTCGGACCACCATGTCTGTCCCGTTATAGAAAAGGAGGAACCGCCCCGGTGAAAGCGGGCGTCAATTTCAGGGAAACCATAAGGGACACCAAGAAGCTGCGTTCCAGGGTGCTGAAGACGTACTCGAGGTCGGTATGCGCGATGGCTGCATCGAAGCCGCGATGTCGTCGGGCACGCGCGCTATGTTCTAAGAATGGGACCTGGCATGTTTGGCACTCCAATACCAGGATGGGTAGATGGCGTCGCAGGTGCTGGATGTTGTCGAGGACTCGGTAGTCCACGTGGGGAGCGAGAAGTAACCGCAAAGTCCCTGACATCCGTGGGACTTGGGGACGAGACAGATGGTGCTACGCCGCGTCGATGGAGGAAAGACCTCGCAGATTTGGAAAGCTCTGAAGAGTCGCTGAAGAGCTACGACGAATAAGTTCCCAAGGCCATCAAGAGCTCGTAGGCAAGTCGTACCATCCGGGACCCTTTCTTCCGAGCGGAAGACGAAGAGATATCAGAGCGGTAGAAGGATCGAGCTGGACAAGATGATGGATTCGTCGCCCCTCGGATGAAGTAAAGGTGGCATAGGGATCACACGACTCGTACCCTGCAACGTCGCTCCGTTGTGACCCTCGGCATGAAGACACAGATCGGAGCATCTGTCGACTCTAGGTGATACGATGACAGCGCTGTAGCCATGTCAGTTTGTCTCGCATATCTTCCAGCGACGAGGAATCTGCTGATAAAGGCAATCGCTATATTCTATATATAACACCAATTGTTAAATTTTACATCATTGTTATAATATAGGCGTGTTATCATATATCATTTAGACCGACTTCCCTCCTATTAATCTTCAAGCCATTCCTGATACTCTTGGCCAAAATCCTATAAGAAATAAATATGCTCACCAATACCTCGTAAATCTGAAACATATCACAACATATCTCTGCTTAAATGACAAATCCTGCTAACAATTAACTAATCTTTTAAACAGACTAGAACCTGTTAAAAATAGATGTTGAAAGTTATATAATTGAAAACGTATATTGAAAACAAGTTAAGAGAATATTTCTCTTCAGCAAGGAACAAATAAAGGTATTGTTCTTATTCCAAAATCACTTAATAGGTACCGCTCAAAAGAAACAACCGAGTTTATGATAATTGTATCAATGAATAATATTTTTTTTTAATTAAAAAGACATATATTGGATCAAAATATCATTTATTTTACCAATATTTCAGTTGGCTGAACGCCAACCTTTATCAAGGTATTATAACATTTTAAAGTGCGTCAACAACAAACTCAGCGCCACATAACGTCAATAGAATTAAGTTTTAAAATATTTTTGCTTATATTATTCACCTTGATAAAGGTTGGTATTCAGCCAACTGAAATATTGGTAAAATAAATGATGATCCAATATATGCCTTTTTATTTAAAGATTTATTTATGGATTGCTCTATTTACAACAATGAATAATATTTATTTTTATTTACTTAATATCTCTCTAATTATAAAATAGTCATAACTAATGCAAATCCTCATTTTCATAATTTATTCCGCAAATATGTAAATAGTTATATGTACATATTCTATTTTTAGCCATTGTACCTGCATTATAGTGCCAAGTTTGATGCTGTAATCACGCCTGTAGAAGGGTTTTTTGCCCGAAAGCTTGCTTTGATATATTTCTATTAAAATAAACTCTTCTTCTTTTACTTCGTCTTTTCGTCTAAATGAATAATATGTTTGAAGGTTACTCACATATTAAAAAAAAGTATCAAACGCGGGATTCGATCCCAGTTCATGGCTGTTTGGAATCGAGGGTTTTTAACCACTGGTCTACAATTTGGAAGACCATCAACACGTAATTCTGCAGCCCCTAATGGCTATGCAGAAAGATAAACCCATCTAAGCTATATTCACACCTTTATTTTACTAAATTTATTTTTGCCCATAATATAAGATTTTATTAGATAATAAAAGGCATATATTGGATTTAATAAACTATTTATTTTGCCAATATTTCGGCTGGCTGAACGCCAACTTTTATCGAGGCATTACATTTTTGTATACACAAACTCAGCGCCGCATAGTGTTACCGTAATAACACTATGCGGCGCTGAGTTTGTGTATACAAAAATGTAATGCCTCGATAAAAGTTGGCGTTCAGCCAGCCGAAATATTGGCAATATAAATATTTTATTAAATCCAATATATGCCTTTTATTATCTAATGAATTAAGTATGGATTACTCTATTTTCAAAACAAATAAGTTTATATATCAATCTTTTTCTCCCCATTGAATATAAGCAAAAATATTTTAAAATAAATTCTATTGACGTTATATGTGGCGCTGAGTTTGTTGTTGACACATTTTAAAATGTTATAAAACCTTGATAAAGGTTGGTGTTCAGCTAACTGAAATATGGGTAAAATAAATTATATTTTGATCCAATATATGCCTTTTTATTTAAAAGCTATCGAAATGTTAAGGACTATCTGGTCAAATTTCCCAAAAAAACGGAAATTCCATATGGAACAGAATGAAGAACATTAAGACTTTCACACAAATACAAAATTCTAAGAATTCGTGAAGTTGGCCATTTTGAGAAACATCCAAAATTCTCTCTAAAATGGATTTACCTGAAATTGATAATGAAAACTGAATTTCAAAATTCTAAACTATTATAGACACATATGATTCTTTTTTTTTTTTTAAATAAACAATTTCTACTGTCCTTACTGCAATAGAAACATTAATTGGAGGGCCTGGCTCATCAGTGGTGAACCCTCCCAGCTGTTTCGCCAGTTTAATCTACCATACCGCTGTTATATTGATTTTTCCATCTTCCTTTTATAGTGATACTGATGCTAGACTCTTGGAATGGGTATTTTAGAAGAACTATGGACATAAGCTTTGAGGACAGTAGAATTACATACAATTATAAATATATAATATGCTTCGAGCAATCGCTCTTCCGCAAATATCAAATTTGTATTATATAATTAATAAATGAACTACTGAATGAATAATGACGTTATGCAAATGTCAACTCGGGAAGAAACCAGAAGAAATACGGTCAACAGGCTAGTAGTTGAATGTTTATGTGATATTTGAATGGCGTAGCTATTTTCGCCAACTATTCCAAGCCTATACAAGAGAATGAGAAGGATTGCAACAATTTTATCCCCAAAATTCGCTGTTTATCCGTAAAAGATTAACCCTTATTCATAACAGATCCTATTCGAAACTGATAGAGGAGTCTGATCCAGAACGGAAAAAGTCTAAAACATATGAATCCCTAACCTCGTGAATTGAAAGCCTATATTCTCATATGGTCCATACACCTGCAACAGATATAGGCCTATCCGAGGTTTATCTGTTTCATACAAATAGTTATCCTTTAATATGGAATTTCAGTAGATGGAGCCTTACCTGCTACAGCTGGAGCTTTTCCATTAGTAGATAGAGCCTTGCCTTCTGCTAAGGGAGCTTTTTCCGCCGTAGATGGAGCCTTTCCCGCTGCAGATGAGATATTAGCCTTGTGCAAAAATGGAATTATTCGCTACACACACGCAGGATATGGAGTCTTACCCTTAAGCTGATGGAGACTTGCCTTTGAGAATATGAAGACTTGCCCTCGAGTAGATGGAGACTTGCCATTGAGAAGTTGGAGTTTTACCCTTGAGCATATGGAGACTTACCCTTGAGTAGTTGGAGTTTCACCCTTGAATATATGGGGACTTACCCTTGAACATATGGAGATTTGCCCTTAAGAAGTTGGATTTTCACCCTTGAACATATGGAGGCTTGCCCTTGAGAATATGGAGACTTTCCCTTGAGAAATTGGAGTTTCACCCTTGAACATATGGAGCCTTACCTTTGAACATATGAAGCCTTGCCCTTGAAAATATGGAGACTTTCCCTTGAGTAGATGGAAACTTACCCTTGAGCATATGGAGCCTTGCCCATGAGAAGCTGGATTCTTACCATTGAACATATGGAGACTTGCCTTTGAGAATATGAAGACTTGCCCTCGAGTAGATGGAGACTTGCCCTTGAGTAGTTGGAGTTTCACCCTTGAATATATGGGGACTTACCCTTGAACATATGGAGATTTGCCCTTAAGAAGTTGGATTTTCACCCTTGAATATATGGAGACTTGCCCTTGAGTAGATGGAAACTTACCGTTTAGAAGTTCCCCCACGCCGAATACTGAGCCTCTATGTTAAGCACCTAAGCCAGCAGGAGAATTCATTGATACTCATGCGGCTCTAAGTACTTAATACAGAATACTCGTCCTTGGCTCTTGGACACCTTGACGGTGACACTTGGGGGGGACTTACCTTATTGGAGGTGACTCTTTGACACTTTGGCGGTGGTACTTAGGGTGGATACACTTAGAGAGGGACTTACCTTATTGGCGGTAACACTGGGTGGATAGACTTGGGGGAGCTTACCTTATTAGCGGTAACACTGGATGGTGACACTTAGAGGACCTTTCTATCCTTTCAGCACTGAGCGGTGTCAACATTCGTAGGAAGTGCCGCAAACTTTGGAGATAATATACCTACCTTTTCAATCTTCTTGTACACACTTACAAAAAAATATTCATATACAAAAAATAATTAATTTTTTGAAGAGAAAACTCTTAAGTCTTGCAAATGTAAGATTCGAAGAAAAAAATCATAACTAATCATAAAATTATAAAATCATTAAAAAAATCAAAACTGAGACCGAGCGATGCCAAGTTGTGTAGCAAAATATTTCAACTGAAAAATTTTCAATTTAGTGGTAGAAGGAGAAAGAGAGAAGAGTTATTTGAATTCATTTTTTAAACGTATAGGGATTTTATTTGTTTGGAAAATGATTTAAAATGTTTTTTTTTTTTTTTTTACTAATGCCTCTCAAGTTTTTACGTTGGTCTATCATTATTAGATCGGTTAATGGACTTCTAATAGGATGTGGTCGAAATGGCTGAGAACTCTTCATTCTATCTCTAGGATGAAATACGTGGTGTCGCTGGAGACCCACTGGTGATTCTCCACCAAACTCTGCAGCGGTGGGAGAGGCGCCATATTCATTGTACATCTATATTAATAAAATGCAAATTTCAAAAGTGTACATCACTAAAAACTTTCGTAGTGTATATAATGCATCTTTTAAATAGTACAGACTGTGAACTTTGTATGTATTGACAAGATGTCAATAAAATTATTTTAATTGTCAATTGTCTAGCTCTAGGACTGACGGCTAGAGATGCTGAAAATTCAACCTTTTTTTTCCTTAAATCGTTTAAAATGTGAGTTTGTTTAAACTCGTAATAAGCCATTGCTCAAGAAGACAAGATCTCTCATGTTTAAAAAGGGAGGTGATATACTATTAGCATTTTGCTTTCAACAAGGATCGAACGGTCTTAGGACGCTGAACAAGTTTAACAAATGTCCTTCACAAGGATGGAAACGCCCATGGAATGGTCTTCTGACCCAACACATATACTGTTAGCACTCCCCTTGGTAAAGATGGAATGGTATTCTGAATCAATACATGTACAGTTAGCACTCAGCTTGTTAAAATGGGATAGTCTTTGGACCCAATACATGCCTTGTTAACAATATCCTTGGCAAAGATGGAATGGTCTCCGGACCCAATACAGTTAGCACTCACCTTGGCAAAGATGCAATAATCTTCTGACCCAATACATGTACTGTTAGCACTCGTTCTTGGCAAAGATGGAATTGTCTTCGAATCCAATGCATGTACTGTTAGCACTCCCTTTGGCAAAGATGGAATGGTCTTCGAACTCAATACATGCATTGTTCACACTAGCTTGGCAAAGATGGAATGGTCGTCGGACCCAATACATGTACTGTTAACACGTCCCCTTGACAAAGATGGAATGGTCTTTGGACCCAATATATATACAGTTAGCACTCACCTTAGAAAAGATGAAATTATCTTCGGATCCAATACATGCATTGTTCACACTAGCTTGGCAAAGATGGAATGGTCTTCGGATTCAATACATGCACTGTTCACACTAGCTTGACAAAGATGGAATGGTCTTCGGACCCAATGCATATGCAGTTAACACTCCCCTTGACCAAGATGGTATGGTCTTCGAACTCAATACATGCACTGTTAACACTAGCTTGGCAAAGATGGGATGGTCTTCGGACCCAATACAGTTAGCACTCACCTTGGCAAAGATTCAATAATCTTATGACCCAATACATGTACTGTTAGCATTCCCTTTGGCAAAGATGGAATGGTCTTCGGGCCCAATAAATGCACTGTTAACATTCACCTTGACAAAGATGGAATGGTCTTCGGACCCAATATATATGCAGTTACCAGATTGAATGGTCTTCTGACCCAATACATGTACTGTTAACACTCACTTTGGGAAAAATGGAAGGGTCTTCGGAACCAATACATATGCAGTTAACACGCCCCTTGACAAAGATTGAATGGTCTTCGGACCCAATACATGCATTGTTAACACTAGCTTGGCAAAAACGGAATGGTCTTCGGAACCAATACATATACAGTTAGCACTCCCCTTGGCAAAGATGGAATGGTCTTCGGACCCGATGCATATACAGTTAGCACACGCTTTGACGAAAATGGAATGGTCTTCGGATCCAATACATGCACCGTTAACACTCGCCTTTACATGGATAAAATGGTCTTCGGACCCAATATATTACATAAGTAATGTACATATAAATTACATACGTACAGTTAACACTCAGATTGGCAAAGATAAAATGGTATTCGTATCCAATGCATATACAGCTAGCACTCCCCTTGGCAAAGATGGAAGAGTCTTAGGATCCAATACATGTACAGTTAACACCCCAATTGGAAAAGATGGAATGGTCTTCTGACCCAATGCATGTACAGTTTGCTTTGAGGAAGATGGAATGGTTTTCGGACTCAATACTTAAAATACCAAAGTTCCCTTTGACCCTATGATAGATGCCTAGGATAAGGTTGAAGCCAAGAGAGACTTACGTGCTATAGTCGGACTGTCGGACGTAAGGCTGCGGGCATGGCCGGATGTCCCACCATATAACTAGGTACTTAAGCCAATCAAGCCTCCCATTGGACAGGCCTCAACTGCTCCCAATGAGGAAACAATTAACGAGAGCATTCACAAGCGGAGGATCAATAGGGGCTTTCCTGGCGGGGTGCTGCCCGTGAAACCTGGAATTTGGGACATGGAATCTTGGCACTGGGCAATTTTAGAAGTGAAAACCTTAAGTCTTGTCTGTGAAAGATGGAGTTGAAAACCTTTAGTCTGGTCGTTGAAAGCTGGAGTTATAAGTATAATGGGTGAAGTTTAGGACATCAAATCTGGAATTTGGGACATGGAATACTGGTGCTGTGAGGAGTTTTAGAAGTGAGAAACTTAAGTCTGGTCTGTGAAAGCTGGAGTTATAAGGATAATGTATGGAGTTTAGGACATCAAATCTGGAGTTTGGGACATGGAATCCTGGCACTGGGAATTTTAGAAGTGAAAACCTTAAGTCTGGTCTGTGAAAGCTGGAGTTAAAAGTATAATGGGTGGAGTTTAGGACACCAAATATGAAGTTTGGGACACGAAACGTGGAGTTTGGTAGGTGGTTATCTGAAGTTTGGGATATAAAACATCATGCATATGTTGGGAGAGGCCTGGAATGTGGGATATGAAGATCTCAAACCTTCCAATATATTGTGTGGACACTCATCAAACTTCATCGGGGAACTAAACTGTTTTTTGAGAGAGGTACCATTTCATACCTCTATACAACTGAAATAAAACCCAGAATATACTAAATATAGAAGATGAATACATTTAAATTGGATAAAACAGAAGAATAATTTTATTAATTTGAAATATATATGTTTGGTAAATTTTGCATATTTCGGGTTTATGGCAATTGTATATGTTGTGTCGTTATTAGACGTACAACAACTCAAACATGACTCTTTATTTAGCTCTTATTCTTTTCGTTTGGCCAACAACAAATGTAAAATTTATATACACATATATTCTTACATAATGTGGCTTTAAAGAATGCAAATAATCTTCATCTATTTACATATACAGCAGTATAGAAACATAAATTATACGCGGCCTCTAAATAAAAAGTCAGTTTTGTTCATAGAAGAATTTTGGCAAGTGGCTATAGGGTAGGTATATTGGAAGAATAAATAAATATCGATAGATTGAAATATCCTGGATATCAATCAAACAAATGCTATAGGTTTCTGGAGATGAGGTTTTTATCTTTATTCAACGTATTCTCGAATTTTCGGACATTTCTGTCTTTCTATAAAATGTTTTATATATACACCTATCCCCCGATTTACACGGTAGACACGTTCCTGAGATAAACGTGTAAATCGGGGGATAGGTGTACACAGAAATAAAATGCATTGACAGGTTAAAATATGTAGTCAGCACATAAGCTCGGGATTCCTCGCATGTGTTCAATCACAGTAGCATTTAGTATAGTGCGATAAAAAAAAAATTGGAAAACCATGTAAAAGCGAAAACGTGTAAAAAAAGGTACCGTGTAAATCGGGGGATAGGTGTATTTATGTACTCAAACAAAACAAACAAACAAAACAGCTTTATTAGGGCATCTTGCCCTGTACGGATTCTCCGTGGAGTTACAGACAATATTAACCATAAGAGAACAGGTGAAAATAGAGTATTTACAGTTAAGGTATGGCAAACAGGGTGACTTTTTATTGTGCCCCTGTTCTTCTCTCTTCCATGAGTGCAATTTTATTCCCAACCGCTTTTTGAAAGTTGAACAGTTCAATTGCCCAACTTTTCTTATCTGAAACAGTTTTTATTAGCTTTATTGAGTTCAAATGCGGTCTAGGAAGACTTTTCAGGATCTTTTTTCTCTCTCCTTCCAGGTCCCCGCATTCAGCAATAAAATGGTATATTTCATCAGTTATCTGACTTCCACATAACCCACAGTACAAATCTTCTTTCTTAATTGCGTAAATATGATTTTCTTTGATCATTGTTGACATTAATCTGATCTGTGCAATAAAACTCACTAAAGCTGAAGACAGATTACATGAAAAGTAATTTTCTGGAATAAATGAATCATAAAGTAACCTATAGTTTGAGTATGTTTTCGTAAGAGATAATTTTGCCAGATCTTGCTGCAGTAGCTGTTCAATTTTTATTTTAGTATATTCGGAAGTTCGATCTGTATGTCATCATAATTTAACCTATAGTTTAGCCATGTGAGTCCACAATGATTGATGATATCCATAATATTCTTACAGAATCCTATAGGTTTTTTTGTCATTAAGGAAATTTCCTTCAATCTATTCCAGCATAGCTTAGGTAGTCTATTGTCTTCCATTTTTTGTAATCTAATGAAATATTTCAAAATTAATTTGATCGTTGTAAAAGTCAAAGATATTCTGCCTGTTTCCAGCCTTACAATGTACCCTGGTATATATCTTGGTAGATTCAGAAAATTTTTGATAAACGTATTCTGTAATTGGTCTATAATATCCGTATTGTCGTATTTATGTACTCCCGTAGAAGGGCAGAGATGCCCGAAAGCCCGAGATTACGTTTAAACCAAACGCCATCTATTGACCGTCGCCGCAAACAAGCAGACTCAGGTCGTTGACAAAGCCACAACACCATCTTTGGTAAACACCTTACTGGAATTAACATTGAAGTTTTAGCTAAGAATCTTTAGAATGAAACACAGCCGTGTCTCTCAATTTTGGGGAGTAACTGAAAACACCTATCAAGAGCTTTGGGGAAGTACAGCCAATCTCCAAAATTCTACAGGATTTTTCTCTTCTTCTTTCTTATCTCCACTCAATCATATTAAGCTTGTAAAGCTTGAGACTTTTGATGGTGTCTGCTGGGGATGAGTAGATCTCATTAATGGATGAGCCAATACAGCTTTGGTAAACTGAGAAGCGTCCACCTAGAGACCATGGTTTCGAGCTAATGGCCTTTGTTAGTTAAGGGTAAGATTTATTCCATGAGATCTCCACAGGGAATTTAATGGAATCTTCACAATCTGCCAAAGAGGTGTTTAGCTGGTAGAGTGGCTAGGCAGAATCTATTGCCAAAATATAGATGGAAATCTCCCGACAAAATTTCCATCTCAATTTATTACGATGACCGGGATCTTTGAACCACTTTGGTTCCATGGAGATAGACAGCAGAAGACAGGATGATAGAGGTTGGTACATAATGGTGGGATTTATTCTGAGGTCAGGATTTAAGGACAAAGGAACATGGAATGTAATAAAAGTTGCGGGAATCATCAAAACCGTGGTGATACGAATACCAACACAAAGTTCGAAAACCTCAACGTGATCCATCTTCAAATATAATTTCCAAATTAGCGCCATCTTTTGCTAAAAATTAGAAGTAGCGTTAAAATGATTTTTTTTTTTTTACTTATCCCTAGTACACTTGGTACAGACCATGATAATCATGGTGGGTAGAAGTAGGCAAATGCTTTTACTGTAAGTGCACATATCTACACATGTGAAAAGCAGTTCGACTTTGCACTTACAAATGTGCCAGAGTCCCGTTTGGTTACTTGCACTCGCTGGTGGGGTTGGAATTTGTTTCTAATTTCCAACGATTGGTAGCGATAAATTGGTGATAATATTTAAAAGTTTTCCTAACCGGTTTACTTTGTAATTTTCGTAAGTGCATTCCACGATTCATTTAGAAAAATCTTAAATTAAGGCATATATTTCTATTTTCCTAGAAGCAAAAATGCCTATAGTCCTCTTAATATGAAAATTCGAAACTATTATAGACACGTATGATTCTTTTTAAAAAATAAACAATTTATACTGTCCTTACTGCAATGGAAAAATTAATGGGAGGGCCTGACTCATCAGTGGTGAACCCTCCCAGCGGTTTCACCAGTTTAATCTACCATACCGCTGATATATTTATGATTTTCTTTCTAACCTGAAAGGTTCAGGTTACTAATATATATTATTGTTTCTCTTTTTTTATTTTTGATTACTTTTTCTTGTATAATATGTTTATAACTGTTTCTGTTAAAAAAAAAAAATGTAAATCGACGCAATTATCCCTAGCCGGGATATCGCGTTTTGTGTGTTGAAATAAATAAAAAATACCGCTGAAATATAGTTTCGAATTTTCATAACAGATGGCGCGCTAATGCATCTTAATATAATTAGTCTTCTTAATAAAGGTTCTTTTCTGTTTTTACACTTTGACAATCAATAAGGAATCTAAGGTTTGGTTTATTTTTACAATTTTACATTCACAAGCTAGAAGTAATACGTCTAGATCTCCATGTTGAGGGACATGTTAACACGAAAGTTCGAGAAATAAAGGAATTATGAAAAGAAACCAAAACCTAGATTCCTTGTTGATTCAGTTAAACAGTATTGAGGTTGGCTAGCCAAGTCACCAACAGCGTTTCTAACAGTAGGCGGATATTGCTATAACAAGCTGGGTCAGTTGCTATGTAGCAACTCTCCGATATTTGACTTTTGACCTCTCTTTTTTTTTGTATTACAAGATTGTCCCAAAAGTTCGTGAACACTTACAAAAATTTTAAATACCAATATTATTCGCTATAATATTGTCAGGAGAACAGAGTACCCCCTCTTATCTGGACTGGACCGACCGGTCGGGGAAGAGTGGCGCCACGTGGAAGGTAGAAAACTCAGTTCTCCCCTCTTGTTCTAACTGCTGGGTCGATTTGGCTCATGTACATAGTAACTTTTATTTTGTATTTAAGTAGAACAACCTCCATGAGAGGACACTCTCGCTAGAGAACACCTCTCTATAAAGGACAGTTTTCATTGTCAAAATGACCATTTTTACTATTTAGTAACTCTCCGTTAAGAGGACATCTCTTCATAAAGGACATTTTTACTCTGCAACTAGGTGTCCTTTACAGAAAGGTTTTACTGTATATAGCATTACTGGAAATGTTAGCTATGTAGAAACGCATTCAAACTATAGCGATTCTAGATGGCTACACTACTTGGACTGAAATATTTCAACACAGTGCTGTTCTGTTTAACTTACCTAGAAATCGGTGGAAGGATGGTCTAAACTGTTGGTTTTCCACCACTACGACCCGGGTTCGATTCCCACATTGGGTACTTTTTTCTGATAAAAAAATGCTCCAATGGCCCCTGATTCTTGCAAAAGTCCAAACCCCACTAGCGAGTCCAAGTAACCAAACGGGGCATATTTGTAAGTGCAAAGTCGAACTAATTTTCACATGTGTAGACATGTGGTGCACTTACAGCAAAAGCGGTTGTCTACTTCTATCCACCATGATTATGATGGTCTGTACGATGTGTACTAGGGGTAAGTAAAAAAAAGGTAGTAGTGAATCGTCTACGGCAGAACCTCCCGGTGCCGTGGCCCGGTAACACGTATGGATTTACCGGTAAATCTTGTTTAATACATTCAGGCTTATTGTGGAGAGAGTAAAGTCGTGATGAAGTATGATGTAATACAAACCAGCTTTTCACTAATCTCACGTATTCATCTATTTGATAATCCTGATGTTAGAATTGAGAAGTAAAAGGGCATTACATTTAAAGCAGTCGCCTTCTTCTACCCACCATGATTATCATGGCCTGTACCACGTGTAATAGGGATAAGCAACTTACCTAGAAACAAACCGGCCTGGAACCAGTTCACTAAGGCTACCAAGACAGATTCCACAGGGAAGCTCGGGTATTTGGTGATCTATGGATACACTCCAGAGCTTGGGATACCTAGTTGTTACTACTTTGTTACACTATGCAGAAACCTAATTGAATCGTTCATAAAATAAAAAAACATACA